TGTTGCCGATGCCTAATTGATTAATAATGAGCGGACAAAAAACGCAGATGAGCCTCATCGATCCACGTCACTACGAACTGAGATATTAATGAGAATAATTTCGCAATCGGGGCAACAACTTTACCGGAGGCTGCTTTGGAAAACAACAGAGACAGGGATGGATTCCGCCATATTCTGCTCCCTATACGCTAAACAAGTATCGGGTTTTCGCAACGCGCGCTTTCTGGTGGACTCCAAAAGCATTGCGTGAATTTAAGAATTGTCAACAATACATTTAAAGCACAGATTATATATTATTTTTAAATAAATATATAGTTTTTCCACAAAAGAGAGGAAGGCAGAAGTCTTACTCGACAAATTTTGTTCAATTGCACAGCTAAAAAACTGGTTTAGTACTCGATTTCGATTGATTATTCTTTATATCATTGATTAAGAAACTTAACGTTTAAATGCTTATATAGTTACGTTAGTGTGTACATTTGTTGGTGCAGAATTAACTAATGATAACTTTACCTAATATAATTTATATTTAAGTTTGGACATTTTTAAGAAATTAGTAAAAAATAATTTTTGCACAAACTCAACCTTAAAATCAACCATTTTTATATTTGAGTTCTCTATAAAACGCCGACAACTGCATTTTAAACAACGAAATATACCTACGAATTTATGGCAACATAATATTATTTATAATACATAATATAATGGTATTTTACCGTTGAGTGGAGACTTTAAAGAATTCTTAATCAACGCTTTTAATAATGCTAAATGCTGTTTGAATTTAGACGACTTTTGTTTGTCGATTATTACTGAATTGAAATGTTTACACTTTTCACGTTAATCATTACTAAAATGTGTATTTATTGTATCTAATAGATACAATTTATATTTTCAGGGACTGTATGAAATTTATTTCTTCATTCGGATTGTTTTCGATATTTTTTAACATTTTCCGGCTTTATTCTTAAAAACACTCGTTTGTAACATAAGAGTTTGACAGCTGATTATCAAAAGTTCTACTTTTGTTACGATGATAACAGCCGATACTTCTTTAGCGTATTTACGTGGTTGTGAATAGTGAGTATTGAAAACACTAAAAATATGTAGTTTATTTTGAATAATTTTTCATGTTAAAATTCGTACCTACATATTATACATATTTATTCAATATCTACATATTTTTAAAAACATGTCCCTAGCCTTCTAACCGTTCTGAATCCAACCCTGCAAAGAGGAAATATCGGGCCTATTTAAACTGCATCGGCCCAGTTTTCGGCATTAATAGTTGACGAGTTCTGAATACGCGAATAATGCTTTTTCAACGAATTTTTTTTGTAGTTTCTGTACCGAAATCAATGAGACCCGTATTTTTTTGCTTAAATTAGTTTTTTTACCCTTAGGAAATTTTAGAAAAATTGTCAGAAACATCGATTTTTCTCTTTTTACGAATGACATTTTTTCCTGAAAATGCCATAACTTGGCCAAAAATGTTTCTATCGTTGCAATTTTTTTTCTAAATTGTAGGTAAATGTTTACTTCATACAAAAAAATATATAAAAAATTAAGTGAATTCACACATTGCCACATTTTTTTTACTTCATATTTTTTCGTTTAAAGTTGATAATATGAACAACTTTCACCAAAAGTCCCGAGTTGGCTAAGTTTCTTCGTTTCGGAATTATAATTCCCTAAAATGCCATTTTTAAGTAAATTCGTGGTTCATCGCAAAAATTTGGTATTTTATCTAGGATCATGAAACTGGGGTAAACTTTATAAGGTGTAATTTAGAACTTTTTGACATATTTAACATATTTTTTCTACTCCCACCTTTAAAACGCTCTTTATCGTACATGTTTCCATGACACTAAGTGACCTTTTAAATACACATTGACAAGTTGTAGCTTTATGGCGCTTTAGTCACGGGCTGAAGTTAGTTTTAAGTTAGTTGACAGTTGACAAATGTCATACAATCGTTAAAATAAATTGCAATTCTTGTAAAAATAATACTAAATATGAAAATTATTTTATTATCTCAATACAAAAATACAAAAGTATTAAATGGTTTCCCAACGCCAATATTTGAAAAGTTTATATGAACATTGTACTTACCTTTTAATTTCGCCGGCAGTAAACTATAACTTAAATTCGGGCACGGACTCCACTGTAAAGTGCTCATAAAACATTTTCTTTACTTTCACTGTGAAAAACTGTCAATTTTCAAGAAATACATTTCGATTTATAACCTTTATAATTGTAATTATAAAATATAAAAATTTGACATTTGACGGTGACACACAGATTCCTCTATTGTTTCATAGATGGCGCTCTATACAATTTTTTTATTTAAATAGTATTAAGATAATAATAAGTATTTGTCGTAGAAAAAGTATAGTATGCACCTCGTTTATAGTCTATTCTATACACTCATCATTTAAATTCGTGTATAAAATGGCGTTTATCAAACTTGATGCATAATATACTTAGGTGCTCTTAAGTAAGTAAATTAAATTATTAAGGATTTTAGAGTAACATTCTTAATATTTTAAGTTTACATAACAAAAATAAATAAATCAGTTGTTAAAGGCCAGTACTAAATACGCTCATATCCTAAAACACCCTTTATAATTAAGTTTCTACTTATCCAATTTATTTATTTTTTATATTTTTATCAAATTTAGCTTTTATAACTTATTTATACCAATTTCTAAAAGAGAAATAATTTTTCAATAAAATAGGGCTACGCTGTCCCACTGTGATATAACTTTTTATAATCGTTTTAAAATATTTGAATGATTTTATTTAGTAGATTTAAAACAAAAAAATTTTGAGTAATTACCTTTGATTCTAACGAATTATTATTTTTATTTTATTTTATAAGAAGTTTTAGCGTATCTTTTTTAGTACTTAATTAATATAAAATTAAACGTTTTAAAATTAATTAAAAATAAAAAAAATAAATTTTAAATACATACCTTACTAAAACATACCTTTTTAAGTCTCATTAGCAACGGATTGTCATTAATTATTTAACGAACGTCGATGATTGAGGTAAACAAAAAAAAGGCAACTTTTATGCGACAGTTTGATTGAGGAGCCCGTTACGTTCAATAATGTTAATATTAATCAAGCCAAATAATGAAGCGAAAGGCAAGGAAAGAAATAACAAGTTGAAGCTGTTGTTAGTGGGATAAGAAAAATGGGGTGATTTTTTTGAATCTCAATTTTATTGGGTAAAAGATTGCGGGACATTTTTCCTACCACTTATTTCGGACGAGTTTTAAGGTGGGAAATGTTAAGGGAATTATGATATTTTTGTTAAAAAAAATATAAAGTGAAATGTAAAGATTTGTTTATTCAACCCTTACATTTAATACAGTTGGGGTAAAATCCCAACCAATCGAACAAAATCGCATGGTAGAGTTGGTCATTCCTCCGAGCTAAAATAAATGTTTTATTAATAACGCCACTTAAAGAACAAAAATAAAAATTCGTTTCCCAATATTTAAAATTAATTCCTATGTAAAATTGTCTGTTACAAAAGTTTAATATAAAACAGTGTTTTTACTTATTTAAAAATTCGATGTGAACTGATTGGGCATTAAGTGGTCGGCGATTCGTTAACGTTTAGTTTGACACCTTTTGCAGCCGTTTTTAACGCAATATATAGTGTGACCCATTTGTTTGCGACTCACCCCTGTAAAATATTAATTTATTGTGCAATTTTAACCGGATTTATTTTAAAGTGTAGATCTTGATAAACTGTATTTTTGGAGCAAAAAAAACGCCATATTTTTACAAAATACAAGGCCTACTACGTCAGTTTTTAAGAGTAAATTTTTAAGAATTTATATTAGCGATTTTTTTAAACAAATCTAAGCACGGCACTGGATTCACCACCCCTCAAAACGACCCAATACTAAATTTTATTAAAAAATTTTAAGTAGAAAATGCACAATAATAACCACAAAAATTCATTCTGTCAAGTTATCCATGAAAAAAATATTGAAATAAAATTAAACTAATAGTAACAGATTAATGTTTAATTTTATTTCATTTTTTTTTCATAGATAACTTGACAGAAAAAATTTTTGTAGTTATTATTTTGCTTTTTCTACATAAAATTTTTCAATAAAATTTAGTAAAGGGTTGTTTTGAGGGGTGGTGAATCCAGTGTCGTGCTTAGATTTTGTTTAAAAAAATCGCTAATATGATTTCTTAAAAATTTACTCTTAAAAACATAGTAGGCCTTTTATTTTCTACTAATATGGCGTCTTTTCAAAAAATACAGTTTATCAATATCTACACTTTAAAACAAATCCAGTTAAAATCGCACAATAAGTAAAGATTTTACAGGGGTCACACTGTATGTCCCAAATTGTAAAAAATTAAAAAAAATATTGTTGAGTTTATCAGGCCAAGTTTTATTATTTCACCAGCCGATTTTAAATGTTTGGGATAAACTTTTCTTAAAAAAAGCACACAAGAATACTTACACGATCTGGCTTCGCAAATAGACGCTTTAGTAGCCATAAAAAATAATAAAACCGCAACAACTAGCAATAATTTCATTTTGGATGTAAAGCTGCTTTATTAAATAAACGAATAGGTACAACTGAAACGTAAATTGATTTTAATAAAATTTTATGGCTTTTAGAAAAACAATTTAACAAGATTTACGAGGCGAGCCAATTAGGAAGGTAAATTGCTTTATGGAATTTTTAAAAAATAAACATGAACAAATTGGAAAAATAACAAACAGTATTTAATAACCAGTAACGTTGCAAACATGCAATGTTTAAAATATGATTGAATTTTATTACTTACCTAACTTACCAGGAATTTTTAATTAGGATAAAATGGAGTTTTGTAAATAAAATAATATCCTCCAAATAAATGGTATAAATTAATAAGGTCATATAAGGTTTCGTAATTTCGCTGGCCACCAAGGTACCAGGATTTAACGCTAATAGACTTTTTATGGCTTAATAAAACAACCGTAAACTATCTAATATTTATTTAAAAAATCAGCCAATTCTCCATAAAAGTCTTTAACTTGATCAACCCCGTTAAAAAAATCACTGTGCTGATATCCTTTCAGAAGTCTTCTGTATACCAGGTTTGGTAAAATTTCGGACACAATTTCGATGTCCTAAACAAATTATAAATATAATGGTTAAATATATTTGTTTACATGCAATTTAATTTAATATTAAATCGTTTAATAAAATTGGAGTAGTAATGATCAATATTCACGAATTATTAGACTTTATAATTAAAACTGGCACATTTGTAAAGCATTATGAACCATTATTATTAATTATACTGTATAATTTAATTAAAATTATAAATAATTAATTAAATGGGCACAATTATAATGCATAAATAAAAATGTTCTTTCTAAATTAGATGCAGTCATTGAAAAAGTTGTGCAAAGTTGCATATCATATTTGATTGTGCATTTTATACATATACGTACTTTTTCTGTCACTAGTGCATCAGAATCTCCGTAGTAGAGAACAATGGGAGCTGTAACTTTCTCTAAGTCGTAACATGGAGGTTCCGTAGAGTTGTAGCGCTTTAGATTTTCCTTTTTACCGTAATCGTATTGTCTAAATTTTCCTGTAAATTAAAAAAAAAAAGAGTTTATCCGTCATTTTCTGTACACCCTAATCATGGAACGGTACTCTCTTAAAATGAATTAGTCAAAAATAACTAATTATAAGTCACATTTGACTAATTGTCATAGCCAAAAAGCAGTCACTAATAATTCTACTGAATGAAATAGTCAAATTAGTAGATTTAAATTTAAAAAAAGTTTTGACCCAGCCGGGGATTGAACTCAGGTCTATCACTTGTCAAACTGTTGTCATAACCTATTCGGCTATCAGCCGCTCTAAAAAAATCAATTTTATTTGTCATTAAATATTGTTCATAATATTTTAAAGTTGAATATATTATTTGTGTTGCTGTTTTGAGCTATTATTATTATTATTTCAAATAATACTTTGTTGTTGGCCGCAAACGATTAAAGAAATTAGTTACTTTTAAGTCTCAGAAATAGTCAAAGATGGTGACTAATCTTAAATTAGTCAAACTTGAACTATTTATGTAGTAAAAAATAACTATTTAAAAGTGAAAACGACTATTTTATTAGTAAAAAATGCTGGTACTAATTCAAATAGTAGAATTTTGAATATATCATTTTTACATGCCTAAATAATCTTATTTTTTTTTTAATACCTGAATGTATAAGTTGTCCATAGTGAAACAGTTGCCTTGATGACGTATATGTGGGCGAGTAGTAATACATTTTTGGGAGCAGTGTCTAAAACATAAGTTTTAATTAGTATGCAGAAACGTTTATTTTATCAACTGATTTACGCATATCCACTGATTTAAGTTTGAACCAATTTGGCAACATAGCAAATTTGAAATGACAGTAAATATTTGTAGGTTATCTTAAATGTACTTAAATATGTGTTTATTACATTATTTATTACAATTTTAAAATAACTGACTAAACCTTATTATTGACAAAAACTTGGTTTGAAGAGGATTTCGGCAATATAAAACATACACAATTGGGTTATGTTCGCAGTTTGCAATGTGTTCTGGTATAAGTACATTTGCATTAGAAGGTATGAAAAACGAAAAAAAAATTGTTAAAGTGGGTGGACATTTTTTCAAGTGTTTGTTCTTGTAAAAGATTAATTAATTATATTATAATTATAATAATTATTTTATAGTTATAGGAATACTAGACCTGTTTCTAAAAGGCAATGCTCTTTTACCTATTCTTTTGCAGGTACCAATAACACCTTATTAGGCATTTAGGCCAATGTTTTGAAAAATAAATTCAATGATGCCGAAGACATCGAAAGGGAAAAATTTGTGACAAGAATATAAAAAAAATTAAGAAACAAACTCTAGAGGATAACATCTGCTAGTTAATGCTTGATATACATAAATTATAGCTTCAGAATAAACTTTTTTAATCAAAAGGAGGGAGCTATACTCAAAAATTGCATGTCCAGAAAAACTGTGCTAGAAAATGGGTGGGAGGTGGAGTCTCGAAAATTTTTGTAGCATGCATATAGTTTACCCTTGCCTGCCCCTCTGAACAAAATTCTGGCTACAACCTTGCTGGAAATGAGGCAAGAATCCCTGCTTTTCTAAATGTTTAAATTAGACCCAATGAAAAAAATTATGCATGCCTTATACACTTTGTTTTTTAAATAATTTATATTGAAAAATATAGGTACCCTGTGTATATTATTTTAAAAATAAAAATATTGTTTCAGAGCATATTTTTAATCATTTGTCAAATAAATATTACAAATGATAAAAACAATTTGAACCAAAAATATAAAAAAATAGTTTCATACACTGTGTCTATTTTTGCTTTCGAGTACCTATAGGTACTATTAAACATAAATGTACCTACCTATATTTCTGAGCCCAAAAATAAATAAAGTATAAATTTCCTCAGGAAAAAAGTTAATGTTTCTATTTGAAGAGCAAGCACATAATTTAAAAATTTAAAAGAAAAAATAAGTTGAACATGGTCTAAAATTTAAAATTCTTCAAAAGTATTTAAAAAATAACACAAATATTTTTTTAAACACAATTTTGGTTTTATTTTATAATCCATATTATTTATTAAATAGTAATTTACTTAATTATCTAGGTATTATATTAAAAAGAAAACATTTATGGAAGGTATGTTTGTTTTTAATAATAAAAAAATTAATCAATAAATATTTTTCCCCAAGTTCAATGTTAGGGGTAATTATTTTACAATGAAGCCAAAGAAAGTTATAAATCAATTGATTTTAAACATTCAGCTTTTAAATCAGACAAAAAACAGCAAAGATATTTGATATAATTAAAATGGTAGTAATTGTATCTTAAAAAAAATGTTATTTTTTAATTATATCTTTGTTATAGGTATTTTTACCTTTTGAATTTATTTTTTGATATATATTTACAAACAAAAATACTGTATTTTTATCCATATTTTAAATCAGTCGTTATCGACTGATATAAAAAATTATATTAACCGATTTACATTTTAGATGATTTTATTGGCCAAAAAGGAGCATCGACTATTACATCGTATTTAAATAAAAAAAAATGTTGGCTGTAAATAGGCGCGTGGACATGAAGCCCCGCTTTCCTGCGAAAGATCTGCTTGGTACCATTATTAATATATAAACCTTAAAAAAACGTATTGCAGAGTATTAATAGCGTTAAATAACTTTTAAATGGGGGCTATTAAGCTATGGGTAATCCAATATAATGAATTGATCCCATCAGCTTTCGTTCGTCGGCGCATAGTTCCAAACTAAACGCCATGAAACATAGCTGTTTCGCAACTATTAATTATGCATATAAGTTTAAATTAAGTCTTTGCTAAGAAGTTCGGGAGATAAATATGAGCAAGTTTAGCCGCAACAAATCCACGTAATTCCCATAATTGTTTCGCCAATTAATCCAGTTTAGTGCATTTAAAACTTTTAAAGTAATTGAAAAATCTGTCAATTTTGCATATATGCATATTAGGGTGGCCCAAAAAAAAGAATATTTTTTTCTCTCTCTTGTGTGAAAACTAACATATTTTTTTATAATGTTGTAAGAGCCCAGTCAAAATATCAGCTAAATTTAAAAAAATTTTAGGGGTCGCTCAAGATTTTTAAAAATTTCCAAAATCGTCAAAAAAAAATTTTATTTTAATTTTTTTCTCGTCTCGATATTATTTTCTAGGTTGAATATAATAACAATTCTGTAAATTTCAAATCGATATTTTGATTTATAAAGGTCGCTAAAAGTTCGTTAATATTTATATTCAGAGGTCGTTCGAAAACATTCAAAATACTCTACTTTGCAAGTTTAAAAAATCTTGAGCTACCTTTAGAAATCAAAATATCAATTTTAAATTATCAGAATCTTTATTATTTTAAAATTAAAAAATAATATCGGAACGAGAAAAAAAATTCAATTTTTGACGATTTTGGAAATTTTCAAAAATCTTGAGCGACCCCTAAAAATTTTTTAATCGAGCTGATCTTTTGACAAGGCTCTTAAATCCTGACAAACCAACATATTTTCACAAGAGACGAGAAAAAAAATATTCTTTTTTTTTGGGCCACCCTAATGCATATATATTCTTAAAAACTACTATAGACCGGGTGAGCTTAATATGTGTCTTACGGAAGCCAAAATATTTTTTCAATGTACTGAAATTAGCAAAACTTACCTCATCGACATGCTGGGTTTGTAAAACTTGGACATGAGCCGGCAAAGTAATCCAATTTCTTATTATACCCGGTGCAGAAAACATAATGAAAAATCTTCTAAAATAATCCAAAAACGGTAATCTATAGATTCCCAGTGTCCTCGTCATGTCCTAAATTAAAAACAAATTTAATGCAATTATAGCGAATAAAAGTCAATAAAATTGTTAATAAAAAACCTTTTAAAATGTTAAATAAAATTTATTTGTTAAAAACAACAGTAAATAATTGAACTTCCGTGCCCGATACTCCTATTGGACAATTATTACCAGTTTTGTATATTTTAAGTATCCAATAAAAATTCAATTGATTTTCAGTACCTAATTAAAAACGCTTTATTTTTGTAGTTCACGTAAAATTATTAATTAATAGAAATTCATTGGAAATTTAAATTAGATTTTGAAATTAAATGATTTTTAAAATTATAAATGGTTTTTATTGTATAAATTCATACATTGTCGTTAAAATAAAAAAATCTACCCCCTCCTTAAAAACGTACATTTTTGGCTTTATGGCGTTTTAATCACAAATGTCATACAATCGTTAAAATAAAGTGCCTTCCTTGTAGAATTATGTTAAATTTGAAAATTATTTAATTATCTTAATACACTCACGTGCAAAATAATCGACCCACACAAATTTTCGATGAATTTCAATCGCAAATAACTTTTTTATTTGATGTCGGATTTAAACGAATAATAAAGAATATTGTAGATAAATTAATGGACAATCGCTCACATTTTAAAAAAATACTAAAAAATAGACTTACGTTTATAATATACAGGTTTAAACAAAAATATGTTTTTTTACCATAAGTTTAAGATACTCTGTAGAGTGGCAAAACCGTATATTGTTCTAAATTAAGTTTTATTTATCGTCACATCTACTCTTAACAGTTTTGTTTTTAGTTCATCTCGATATATTTATTTTTGTGGAAAATATGGATTTTTTTAAAAAAACATTGCAATTTCCAATATTTTTCCTGTATGAAGAACTAAGGTTGCTATGGTCCATCCATAGCCTATGGAGAATGACTGTGACAGTTTTGTTGAATCATCCCATACTTGGACATGTCATATACAGCCTTCAAAAGCTATCAAATTGTTTTTTTCTAAATTAATGTGTTAATTTTAGGTGTATTCTTACTTTTAAAAATGTCTCCGACTGATGTTGCCCTTTGTACTTTACTTGACGTTTAAAACACTTGCCACGTAATACTGTGACCGTCCATACTGGATTAAATTAATAGCTCTGGCAACATCAGTCGGAGACATATCCAAACTTATGGTAAAAAACATCTTTTTGTTTAAACCTGTATATTATAAACTTACGTCTATTTTTTAGTACTTTTTTTAAATGTGAGCGATTGTCCATTAATTCATCTACAATATTCTTTAATATTCGTTTAAATCCGACATCAAATAAAAAAGTTATTTGCGATTGAAATTCATCGAAAATTTGTGTGAGTCGACTATTTTGCACGTGAGTGTAGTTCATTATTAAACCCATTAGCATATGGGCGATTTCGCTGAAGACCATTCTGGACAACAATTTCTAAATCAAAGTAGAAGCTTGTACCCACCTCCAATGTGTATATCACTCTGGACAAGATATTCAAAAACATATTGAAGCTGTTCCTCATAATGGAGGAAGGTGCTACCAATACGGCTACGGATATTTTCTTGTTATATTCAGGTCTGGTCGAGGCCATAATGTAGAAAGATGTGCCTCCTTGAGAATATCCTATATAACTTAGCTGCTCGCTGTTGGTCTCATTTAATATATAATCTATAACTGGGGGTATGTCATACATACCGATTTCATGAAAACTAAAATATAAATATGGCAGAGTCAATTTAAAACTACTTTAACTTAGAGTTACAGTTTTACACAAATATTAGAAATATTTCCCAACACCAAAATAAGTAATATTTTTTGACTTGTCTAGAGCATTAGATACTCTATATCCAGATTTTTTGTCTAATAAACTATATAACCTTACAGACAATGTTATGTTAAGGTTAATGAGGAAAATTCAAAGACATAATACGCACATTGGAACACCTCAGGGTAGTACTCTGGGTCCCTTGTTATTTATATTGTTTATTAATGATCCCCCCAAATACATCAGTCTGGGAAAACTGTTTGTGTATGTTGATGATGTAACTATTGTTGTAAATATATGGCAAGACCGAAAGTGAAATTGTTAATTTAATTCACTGTGATAACTGGGTTTAGCAACTGGTGTTTTAAAAATAGATTAATAATTAATGTCAAAAAAACTGGGTTGATCCAATTCTCCTATGGTAATCTTAAGAAGGAAATTCAAATCAATAATCAATTTTTTATTTTTTCGAATTCGTCCAAATTTTTAGGAATGATACTAGATACATTTTTAACATGTTATAAACACATTTATTGTATAGCTTAATAACTAAAAAAGTCCATCTCCTAAGGGACTAATTAAATATTTCAGCTCTCCTTAAAAAAACCCTTTAATGAATTTAAAAAAATCATAATCAATATATTATGTATCAAGTTTGATAAACGCCATTTTATACACGAATTTAATTTAGGCACGAGCGAGCTTGCGAGCGAGTGTTTAAGTTAATGAGTGTATAGAAAAGTTTATAAACGAGGTGCATACTATACTTTTTCTACGACAAATACTTATTATTATCTTAAAATGATTTAAATCAAATATTTGTATAGAGCGCCATCTATGAAACAACAGGGGAAACTGTCAAATTTCACATTTTTACATTTTATAAAGGTTATAAATCGAAATATATATTGAAAATTGACAGTTTTTCACAGTGAAAGTAAAGGAAATGTTTTATGAGGACTTTACAGTACACGAATTTAAGTTATAGTTTACTGCCGGCGAAATTAAAAGGTCAGTACAATGTTCATATAAACTTTTCAAATATTGGCGTTGAGAAACTATTTAATATTTTTGTATTTTTGTATTGAGATAATAAAATAATTTTCACATTTAGTATTATTTTACAAGAAAGGCACTTAAAACTTACTTCAGCCCGTGACTAAAAACCTGTTGCTAACTTCAGCCCGTGACTAAAGCGCTGTAAAGCCACAACTTGTCAATGTGTATTTAAAAGGTCACTTAGTGTCATGGAAACATGTACGATAAAGGGCGTTTTAAAGGTGGGAGTAGAAAAAATTTTTTTTTCTGGCTGGGCTGAAGTTAGTTTTATGTTAGTTGACAGTTGTCAAATGTCATACAATCGTTAAAATTAAAGTGCCTTTCTTGTAAAATAATACTAAATGTGAAAATTATTTTATTATCTCAATGCAAAAACACAAAAGTATTAAATAGTTTCCCAACGTCAATATTTAAAAAGTTTATATGAACATTGTACTGACCTTTTAATTTCGCCGGCAATAAACTATAACTTAAATTAGGACACGGACTCCACTGTAAAGTGCTCATGATTTTTTTTTTACTTTCTCCGAAAAACTGTAAATTTTCAAGAAATACAATTCGATTTATAACCTTTATAATCTGTGCTTATAAAATTTGACATTTGACGGTGACACACAGATTCTCCTATTGTTTCATAGATGGCGCTCTATACAAATTTTTGATTTAAATCATTTTAAGATAATAATAAGTATTTGTCGTAGAAAAAGTATATACAATAAATTTATCTTTTTGACCTGTCATATTTACCATTTTTTGTAGTAGTTCTGTGATTAATAAATTATTATAATTAATATTATTATTATAAAACACAAAGTGCTTAAAGTGTAACTCATTTAGTTACACTTCACTTCTGAAGATGCCAACATCGTTGGCGAAAAGTACTTTAGCACTTTTGTTTTGGTGTTGGGGAATATTTCTAATATTTGCATATCATCAAAGTTGTCATTTTTCAAGTATTGCAGTTTTATGGCCAAATGTAACGCCCGGCTATATCAAATAAAGAAAAGTCACAATTTTTGACTGACCTGTAATCATAGAATTCTTTGGTGTTGTTATCGGGATCCCAGACTTTGTGTTTCATGGAAACGCTGTTTCCACGATTATTGAATAACCAAACGTCGTAGCCCAAGTCGGCCAGGTAGAAAGCCAGGCTGTTATTTTTGCCGTTTAGAGCGAATTGCACCGAAGAAAAAAGCACTCCGTGGTTGAGCAAGACGGGCTTGTTTATTCGCTTTTCTTTCGACTTCATCCTGGCGGAAACTCTGTGCAGCTCGAGAATGTACCCGTCTTCGGTCTGAACTTCGTGCACATCGCAGGTATGTCCCTCGGACCTAATAAGTTTTACCTAGAAGAAAAATTATAAACTTACTTTTTTCACTTATTTGATGTGTGTGTTACCGGGCTTCGGTACATTAAGGCGCCTGCATTCCTAACAAAACCACACAAATTTGTTGTTAAATACACTAAAAATAGCTTGGCGATGTTCATTGTTCCAATATTTTGATCATAATCAATTATTTTTTTATCGCCCATTTTACTATAGCATCATTATGTTGTAACCGTGTTTTACACAATTAATTGTTGTGTATTGTATAAACGCGTTTGTTTTATGAGTATTATAATAATTGACTACGATAGTTTATGCGAAATAATACAAACCTTAAATAACTTTACACTAATTTAGAGGTTACTGTTAAACTCTCATCAATCGATAGCATGTAAATATTTTCCTAAAAGATAAGAAAAATATAAAAGTTGATTAAAGATTATTTTAATTTATACCAAATCAAAAATATGTGCTTTGATAATTATACAGAGTGCTCCACTAATTACAAATAAAAAAAATATAACTAACTTATTGCATTAATACTAATTAGTAACTATTATTACTTTTTACATTTTTTTTGCCCAATTCATTTTAACGAGTTTTTTGCAGGTTTTGACGTTTTTGGTTTACGATACAAACAAACCGTTGTCAAAGCAACGTGGTATTTCCATTGTAATTTTTTTAAATTTCCATTTAACAATACACTGACCAACAATCGGTTACATTAGAGAAAAGCCTATTAAAATAAAATTCATAAAATGAAAAAAAAATAATACAGACTTATTGGCCCTCGTAGAACATAACATGTTCTAAAAACGTGTACACTGTACACTGTATAGTTAACTATGTTTTGTTTTTGTCAAATTTAGTAATTCATATTAATTACATTCACCAAAAGATATAAATATTACTGCATTACTAAAATGACCCTGTACTTAGATTTAATCGTATGATTTATATTACTTCATATCTTAAAATTAAATATACACTGCGCGTCAAAATTGACGCATAATAAGTAAAAAAATTCTAACTCTAAAACGCATTTACCAATCTTTATAAAATTTTGTGTATTTGTATTTCGGAAAAATATCCTTAAAGCCCTTTTATTTAATAATAAAAAAAACGCTCGAAAAAAATTTTTTAAGTGAATAAAAAATATGCTGTGAAATACCGTATTTTTGTAAGTATAGCCTGAAAATGTTGTACACATCAAACGAACAGTAACAAAAATACAGCGCTTCAAAGTCATCAAAAATGACCACTTTTCAGCAAAATAATCAAAAAGGGATCATTTTTACCGACTTTGAAGCGTTGTATCTTCGTTACTGTTCGTTTGATTTGTACAAAATTTTCAGGGTATACTAACAAAAATACGATCTTTATTTTTTATTTACTTAAAAAAAATTCCCTAAAAGTTATTTTTGGAACGTTTTTTTAATAATTAAATAAAAGGGCTTTAAAAATATTTTCTCGAAATACCCTCAAAAAGGTAAACTGAGATATAAGTTGAAGTACTCTTATACAAAATTTCATATTATGCGTTAATTTTGTCGCGCAGTGTATCTTCCAATTTTTGGGAATATTTTATCGGGTCCATAATGTTAAACTGTTTTGGACAATAATCTTATCAAATTTTATTTAATGTAAACATCCGAGAAAAATATTTTCCACATCGAGTCGCGAACACTCTTTAAAACTCAATAATATTTTCCATTCTTGTATACCGCAGTATGTATTTAATACGTGTTTTATTATTTACATACATTAATTTTATTACCATTGTACTAATTTCATAGGATCCTTTATTACTTTACCCCACAAATGTGTATAAACTTAACTTCTTCGTGGGTTTGGCCGATGTACTAATAAACGTTAATTGGCCTTTTAAAGAAAGAAATTGCAGATATTAGCACAAAATATGTTATGGCTTTCATGTCAAACAATTATTACGCGAACTAAAATTTTTGTAATCAAATGCAGGCCAAGGGGCACTAATTCCGTTTAATTAAGTTCAACTACTAAATAAAGTTGATGTTTGCGTGGACCGTTGTGTTGTAATTTCCTAATGACTTTAATAAATGTTTATTGGAGTTGCAACGTTAAAAGCTGCAAATGCTATTTGCTTTGACTAATTTTCTACGTGTAGGTACCTACTTTGTTTAATAAGTAGCACAATCAATAAAAGGTTAGTTAAAGAAGTCTATGATGACTCAGTCGGTGGCTCTACTGACACTGACCTTTTTATTTGTATACCACCGATGTGAACAGAAATCCAGCAATTCACGAATATTCCCGAACAAGTAGCGATGTTGCCACATCTCAATATTAATACCCCAACAAATACATGGCCAAGGGAAAAATAGAATTTATTGATTATTTTAAATAATTTAATACAATTAATTCTGAAGGTGACAGTATGAAGTTGGCCACAAAATCGATATAGTGGGAACGTGTGAACGTAGAGGGGGTCATGTTGGCTGGCGTAAAGAATGAGTGGCTAAGCATAAGCAAAATAAATCAAACTACCTTGACATGGGTATCAAATGAAAAGGTTTTACAAGAGGAAAACGATAAGATTAATAAATTTCAAAAAAAAAATTGAAACTAGTTAAAAAAATTCTAAAAAATTTCTGATTTTTCTGATAAAAAACGCTTCTTGTACCGTACAAGTTGTACGGAACTGACAATTTAAAACAAGATTGCTGGTAAAAATATGAAAATTGGCTATATAGCAAATATCATATCATAAATTGTTTGCAATATTTACTTAAAAAATGTAAAAAATAATTTATTGAAAAGGGTAAAGTAGACAGTTATCGGACACGTTATAGTTATTGGACAATTAACATTAATATTGTAAAAACAAGAGTTTTATAAATAGTTACCTTAAAGTCAAATCATTAGATGACGCTGTATAAAATTATAACTATCTCAGTCGGTAATAATATATAACTACCTTATTTTGGGTCCGATATAAGACAAAAAAGTTCGCACGTTACTTTGGTAAAAAGATTTTTGTTTTTTTTTGTTAAGAGCAGGGCTGTGTTTAAATTACAATAAAAAATATTTCTAAAAAGTGTACAGATCAGTGTGTGGTATAAATGTTGTCCTCATGGTTTAAACATTGTCACTTTAATTCGTTTTAATTTTAATTCTAAAAACAAACAGTAAACTGGTTGGTAAAAAATGTAAATTTTTATTATTGAACATATGTATATCCAATATCATACTCTATTTATATCTCGGGCATTTACCAGCCAATTCTTATGTAAAATTGACGAAAACTATAAAAGTTAAGCAGTTTTTGAGATAAAGTCAATTCCATATTATATGAAAAATTGATTATATTTCTACTTTTATAACTTTTGACGACATTTTCGGATTCAGCGTATAATTATTCATATGAATTGACTGCTAAATGTCCTGGATACAAATTGCTGTTGACGAGAATTATTAGTGGCTGCTTTTTCGGTATGACATTTTTGACTAATTCATTTTTAGAGGGTAAGTAATACAGTGATTTCTTCGTCACAGGACATCTTGCAGAATAACAGTGATTTAAATACGCGTAAACGTAGGCTGGCGTAAAGAATGAGTGGCTAAGCGTAATAAAAATAAATCCCTTTCACCAACCTCCTTGACATGGGTATCAAATGAAAGGGTTTTACAAGAGGAAAACGATAAGGTGATAAAATTTAAAAAAAAATGAAATTATTGAAAAAAATTGAATTCTAAAAAATTTCTGATTTTCCTAATAAAAAACGATTCTTGTACGGGACTGACAATTTAAAACAAGTTTGCTGGTAAAAATATGAAAATTGGCTATAGCAAATATCAGAGATATGTAATAAATTGAAACAGTAAATTCGCCAGTGACATTTCGTTTTATGAAAACGTTTTCTTTTCGCTCAGCTCTGCGATATGCCTTCCATCAATATGTAACAATCCTTGGGGCCGAGACTTTTCCGGCAAACTCAAAAACCCAATTTAACTTAACACCGCATGCCAAATTTTAACTTTACCGAACTGTCCAAGCACTTCTGTGTGTTTCTTAAGCCTTTGCAATATTTGCTAAATGCTGTTTGTTATAGTAAAACTTTACAGAAATTGTTTTCTTTATCTGCAAATAAAAATAAAATCAATTAGATCACTGTGCAATATCTTAACTTTAAAGTTGTAGCAAACTACGTTACAGAGTTTTTCACGTAATTTTCCAGAAGAATTTTAAAGTTTTTATTTTAGAGAAACTTTCCTAAGTTGCTTGGTCGGTAATTATAGTTATTTTAGTTAAAAATAATGCTGTTACGGCTTAAGTATCTTATAAAGTTTAAGATGGAAGTTTTTTGAAAATAAAAATAATTTTAATTAATTACAAAACTTTAACGCATTTCTTTTGTAGTTTTATTATAACATGTGCACAAGTGATCTTGAACCTAACGAAATAAAATTGCACAACCAATTAATTGATTAATTTTGTTAAATGTTATGTTTGGAATGAGTAACACATCGTACGAGGTCCGCTCGAACTTGCAATTAAAGATAACGATTGTTGTTCAGCAAATTTTACTGCAAACATTTCAACAAACGTATTTAATACCTAAAAATTCCTTCAGTAATATAAATAGTCGTTTTTTGTAAAAAATATTAATTTTAAAATATAATATAAGTACTTTTAGAATTTATTATTGTACCAAGATTTTTTAATTTTAATTTTAACAATGCACACAAACTTAATTGTTCTTATTTTTTAAAGTGTAAAACTTTATTTTTTGTTTGAAATTCTTAGTGCGCAGGGGACACTTCACTTTTTAAACTTTTGCACTAGAAAAGTTTACTGAATATTTTAATTTATAATTTTCAGGAAAATCTTCATCTCAACTATGTTATTTATGTTATTAATAAAAAGTTTTGAGAAGTCGATTTAAATTCCTTCGTATTTAAAAAAAAAATAATTGCGAGGGTGTGTTTTTCTCTAGCAGTATTGGAATAAATTTTGTCACCCTAAAAGTTGTTCAATTAAATTAATGTAGAGTTGTAGGTAATTAAAAACAGAGTTAAATAAAAAAATAATTTGGGCGAATAATAAAAATTTTGTCGGCAAGATTTAATTATCCTGCTGAAGACATTCCATTTGCAGGATCGCCCACTTCAATTTTGTCCTTTAACAAATGAATAATAATTGTCCTTTTGTGCCAGTTCTTTTTAAATTTGTTTATCGTTGTTGTTTTAAGGCTAGAAAATTATTTAAAAAAATGCCAGCAAATTTTTTATAATTCAAACATCGAAACTTTTGGGTAAAGTATACTTATATATAAAATCCTGGCATACATAGATGATGATAAAACTTTTGCAGCGTAGATTAAGGCAATTAGAAATTAAGCTGAGAATATGATCCAATTTACA